AAATTGTAAGAAATAAATAAAATCCAGTTTAAAGCCCAAATGTTTATTCTTTACTTCGCATTTCCCAGACCTGTCCCATGGGCCACATTCCTACAGCCCTATTCTGGCCCCTGTGCCTTATGTTTGACACCCCTGTTCTACATAAATAAAATAAATGTGCTGTATTGTGAAGAAATGGGAAGTGTTTTATTCAAAGTGTTCAACTTTTCAGGATGCCCCGGACTCCTGGATTATAGATAATGCAGTTGGGGGGGAGTTATTTGCAGTATGGCATATAAACTGTACAGGCAATGGGTACAAAATCTAACTTAAAGAAAAAAGACAACCACCACACATGCAAACAAGCTTCTTTTTAATGCACAAATCTCTACAACTCCAAAGCACATTTCAGTAATAATATGTAATACATGCATACTGAGGGACTTCCAGTGCTTTATAATTTGCTTTCTTTTGCCGATCCAGGAGAGGTGGTGGGAAATATAGGGAAGACCAAAATAAACACAACCCAAAGCTTGTTGAGATTTGTATTTACAGTAAGTAAAAGCTCAAAGTCCATTTTGATATTCACCACATTTTCTTCTCTTTTTTGGGGATAATTCAAGATTGCAAAACCCTCAAAACTGGAGATGCCGTCGTGAAGGGTTTCTTTCTTTTCTCCTTTCATATTGAGCTGGTAAAAATCCAGTGGTTACCACAGAGAAAAATACAAAGACAGATGCCTTCACTGCTCTGTGTGAAAGTCTGCAGAGAGCGAGCGGTAAGGGAGAGAAGGAGAAAGAGTCTTTCTGCTAAATTCAACAGGCTGGTATGAAAGCACAGTGATTAAACACAGAGTGAGTGAGCCGTTTTCAGACCAGCCACTTCACGAGCGGAAGCAGAGCATGATATTTCAACTACTCAACTGGACACCACTGATTGGATTGGTCTCGACTCCTGAATACATTCGCATTCATTTGTCATTTTTTTCATTTTTTTTTTTAAAAACTACAGACATAAATTCACACGTCACTGGTCAACACTTTCTTTACATCCAAATATGATTCCAGGTTTTTAAAGGGAGGAAAAAAAAAACTATTTGGCAAGACTGCTTTAAAAGAAAGGAAACATCTCTGGCACATCAGAACAATATGCAGTATTTTCAAGGAATAACCTCACCATGTTCACCGAAACAGCAGAGCTTGATCACTTGGAGTTTGGTCAGCTTCACCTTCACGTCCCTGCAGATCCCTGAGAACTGGTCACAGAGCAACAACGTGTGGTCGCCCTCGTGTGGTTAAAGAGGACTTCACAGTCACGTCAATCAAGTCATCAAATAAAACAGCAATTACAAACTAACAACTAGTAGATACTGTATCGTACAATTCGGCAACTTCAGTTTGATTTAATAACACATTTACATGATTCTGCGACTGGTATTCTTACAAAAATTCATAACGTATTATAAGAAAATAAATATTCCAATACATTAGTGCAACGCAGTAGTCCCCTCAGCGATCGCCGCCATGATTGAAAACACACCGTCCTGCTTCACGTCCACTCACTGAAAAGCTAAAAAGGAACAACATCACTACCGTCAGGAGTTTACGATGCCGTGAGCCAGAAGAAAAACAACGAGAAAGTTCAGAGTGCAGATGATGTCACAATTAGTAACCACAGCTTGAAGCTTATATTTCACTTGCATAACACAACTCCACTCAGCAGCTCCAGGCAGGACATCGACACAAGGCATACAGTGGAAGGTCCCGTCCCAAAACAACAGAAAAGACAGCAGCTTCAATAAAGAGTTTCCTTTAGTGTGGCACTTCGAGACCAGACACTCTTTTATCTGCCAGGCAGCCCTGATCCAGGCTGAGCACGGCCTCCACACAGTAACACCTTCGGTCGAGAGGCTCCCTTCACCCCACCTCTGTGCTTCCAGGTCTAAATGACAATGTGAAGGGAAGCAGAGGGGGAAGCTGTGCTGATCCAAATGGAGCTGAGCCAGCGCTCCTTAAATTCCTCCCGTTTCTTGTTTTTCGTTTTGGCAGAAACTGATGGGAGGTGGCGGGACGGGCAAACTGGGTAACGACACTGAATCACGAGGCCTGGGATGGGTTTTTTTTTTTTTCTTCTTTACCCACCCAAGTCTCAAAGCTCCGTGGTCTCCCAGCTCACCTCCCGCGGAACCTGGCGTCATTTAGTCCCCGTGTGGATGACGGTAACAGTGGAGGGTCGTGGCCTGGGCGGCTCGGCCGACGCTGGGGGCTCCTCTCGAGTGGGAGAGGGGGCATCTGAGTCCTGATGGTACGCTTTAGCAGCACATGGCAGAGGATCTATAGGGTGACCTGTGGGAGAAAAAGATTTCCTTCAGCAATGAATCACATGCCATTAACTCCAAGATAAAGAAAGTTGCCAACAAATAATAATGAGCACGACCACAACTGCTTGCTAGATCTCCTGTAACAATTGAACCCTGTAGTTTTAAGTTAAACGAATAAATACTAAAATATTGTAAATACTGGATTATTTAGTCATCTATACATGTTAATCACAACCCACAGTGCAGCTGATTTTTGCGTAAACAGCCCTTGAAAAACAGATCTACAGATGCTTCAGAGAAACAGTGTTTGTGAGCCTCTCTGTACGCCAATAAGAACCCATCATTTTATTCAGCTTCTGCCTTTTTATGGCTACTTGAGCCTTTATTTGATCCTGGATCACATAAATGGTAAAACCATTGATAACACTTTCATGTTGTGCATTACAGCAGAGTGATTCAACTGACAGCGTTCCTGCTGGTTATTTTTATTAGCTTTTAATTTAAAAAAAAATAAAATCCTCACATTTGAGAAGCCGCATTGATTTTTTTCCCCTTTGTCAAAGATGTGTTTTTGTAAAAGTGGATCATTTTTATAATAACATGCAAAAGTCTTAAGACAATCTGGATTTCTCTATAATTTTCTACTTTTGGTAGCCATCAGCCAGCTGGCTGGACGCTGAACCACAATTTAGATCATTTAAATGGGTTGGTTTCCTTAGTCCACAAATTTTCAATATGATTGAGGTCGAGGATTCAGGAAAGCCATTCTAGAAGGTAAACATTAGCTGTCTTTATGCATTACTACACTAGTTTTGATGCGTGTTTAGGCTCATTGTCTTTTTGGAACACCCAGTTGTGTCTAAGTTTCAAATAACTAGCTGGTGATTTGAGGTGAAGTTGAAGAATTTGGAGGAACCATACTGTTGTACCTCTAATTACTGATGACCATTTGAACCAAAAATTTTAAATTTGGATTAATCTGACCTGTTGCCACTGATTTTCAGTCCAGTACTTTTATAATGTGGAATACATCAGCCTTTTCTGTCCGTTTCCCTCCCTTAGATATGGTTTCTTAACAGTCACTCTTCTACTGAGACCATTTCTGATGCTTCAGCGAGCACTGGGCTGATCAACCGAAGCTTTGGTGGATTTTTTTTTTCAGTTTCTTAAGAACATGCCTTTCAGACTGAGTAAAGAGCAGCCAATGTCCAAATAAAAACTCTGAAAGGCTTTCAGAAAGCCTGGAGAGCTAATGCTCACGACCACTTTCAAAATCACTCCTTGTTAGGAAAATAGAAAGAAATGGGGGGGGGGCTCAAGATTTTTGCACAGTGTTGTAAGCGCTGACATCAAACTAAATTCAACAAAAAATTAAATTAGGACCACATTTCACATGTTAAACTCCATTTAGACTGTTTAATTTGAAAAAACTCACAGCTCGAGAGCTTGTTAAACAGTTGTCATTTAGCTTAATGAAGTGGGCAGGAGAGTGAAAAGGCTGCGCTGAGCGTGGCGCTAAAACTGAGACGTGGTCGTGTGTGAAATGTCACTCACAGTCCTTCAGGGAGAGCGGGGCGCAGTCCACAGACTGGCTCTTGGCTGGACCTCGGCTCTGAGAGCTGGACACGGAGCTGGAGCTGGAGATGCTGCTGCCAAAGCTGGTGCCCAGCTGCAGGCGTCTCATGTGGCGGATCACAGCGGTGGCGTTAAAGGCTTGCTGTGAAGAGATGTTGTAAACAGACAAGAGTAACCAAGACAGATTTCTGTAGAAAGACAAACGACTCCATGACTTTTTCCCCCCTAAAAAGAGAAAATATTAGAATATCGTGTTTTTTTCTTTTGTGATATTGAACAACTGAGAAAAATGAAGTCTCACCCTCCATTTGCTTTTGGCAAAGTTTTTCCTCATCTGTCGACTCACTGACTCGTGTATGTTCTTACACAGAGCAGTGTCTCCAGCAATCCTGAAAACAAAACAAAAAAACAGATCAAATATAAAAGACAATACACACAAACCAAAACAGCATTACCCAGAGGACTTATATTTGTATGTGTAAAATCCTCATGCTGTTTTCCAATTTGCTGCCGTGATTTTTTTCCCCATTCAGCGAAAACGTCTTTGATTGATGGGGCGATGTTTCAGCAGGTGCTCGCACACCGTATCACGTTCTGCCTCATTCATCACAATATCTCGGCACGAAATATCGTCAATGAAACTCATTTCTCTCCGTTACGACAGCTGTTACCGGTGTCACAAGCCACATATTTATATCAGAGGGACCACCTGCCCGAAACCTCGAAAATATGCATCGCTGGCTAAAGGACTTATTGGCCACCTCAGCTGGAGACAGCAGCCCACGCTATTTTTCTCGTTAAGCTCTGATGCAGGCCTGGGAAGACATCCCAATTGTTCATCAGAGTCCACATTCTTCGAGGATCCTTCACGACACCAGCCACTAATTGGCAGCCATTTAATCAGCAGATTTCTCTCCGAGGGCCGGCGATGCAGAGCAGAGGTGGACTCGCGGCTCGAAGCCATGGTGACAGA